GAGGTCAATCGTACTTGGACGTAGTCAAAGGGCCGGCAGGGCTGGCTGTCAGTGCCACGGTACGGCGCGGCCCTACCGCCCTTACCAATATCCCATCCCGGCAGCCAGCCCGGCAGTCAGCCCGGCAGGCAGCCAGCCCGGCAGGCTGTCTTTTCGTCCCACAAACGGCAACTGCGCGAAGCGAGTTCGCAAAGCGGTGGAGGGCCGAGTGAAGGGCCGGCCAAGGACCGCAGCCTCTGAGCCGCCCTGGGCCCTCCAGCCGCCTCCAGCCCTTACACCCCTACAGTGGCGCAGCAACCCCGGCGCCGCGAGTACGCCGCCACCACCACCTCCACCTGCAGCGCACCGCCTCTCGAGTCCCGGCGGTCCCGGCGGTCCTGGCCAGCTACTCAGCCGGACAGACGGGCAGCCAGCCAACCGGAGCGATACACCCAGATCAAAGGGCGCTGGGGCCGGCCTGCCTTGCCTGCCTTGCCCCGGTGGGGCCCTGGCGGGGCGCGGCGGTACGCGTGATAGGGTTGCCACTCGGCTCACTCGACTGCGACCCGCGGGCCGCGGTTACGCCAAAGCGTTTCGTTCCTTGCTCCAGTGTGGGCGTATGAATGTGTGTGTCAGTGTGAGTGTGCATGTGCGTGTGTGTCAGTGTGAGTGAGTGAGTTCCGTGCGGGGTATTTCCGCCAACACGCCGAAAAATATCGTCAGGCACGCGTGGCAACTGCATGTAGAGTGAACCTCATCGCCCTATAGCCTCGCCTCGCCACGCTCGCTATGCCACCCCTAGCCGACTGAGAGTCGTCTGTCTCTCTCGCTCTCATGGGGCGTCCCCTATAGGTGGGAGAGAGAGAGACAGGGTGACGAAAACGACTCTCGGAATCAGTCTGCACGGCGCAGGGCAGAAATAGGCGGCGCGGTGTCGCACGCAACATAAGCCTCGCACACGATCCCCCTACCTTCCCGGCGTGCCCGGCGTGCCCGGCCTGCCCCCACATCAATCATGCAGCTGGACGAGGCCTGGCGATCATGGCACCGCGAGGTTCGAGGCGGCACCGCACCAAACCGCCTACCGCCTTCCGCCTGCCGCCACGCGGTTCCAGGTTCCATCTCGGGGGGAAGGGGGACGACGACGACGTGGTGGTGGTGCACAGTGGGCCTGAAGACCGGTGGAGGCGACCAAAACTCTAGACGCGTTTTGAGCTCCAGAGTCACTAAACAGGCCTCGAAACGAACGTGCGACCCCACCAATGGATTCCTCGTTGGGAGAGCAATCCATTGGTGGGGTCACACGTTCGGTTCGAGTCCCATTTAGCGACTCTGGAGCTGAAAACGCGTCTAGAGTTTTGGCCGCCTCCACCGGTCTTCTGGCCCACTGTGTGGTGTTGCTGTTGCCACCGTCGCTACTACACCAGGAGGAACACGGATCACAGTGTGGTTTCTGCGTTTGGAAAAGATTTCGGTGCACAACGCGTCGACTTTTGTCACAAAAACAACAGAAAGAGAAAATTTTCAAAAAGGGGGAGTAAAAAAAGGCGCAGGGTGTTCCGACCTTTGAAGACGGAACTGACGGTGTAGCAGCAAAGGATGGATCCATATCGCGTGGCGGGATAGCGCCACCATTATAAACCATGGCACGGCATTGGTTCGCAACGCTGTGTATGTGTGTGTGCGCGCGTGTGTGTGAGTGCATACGGAGTGGAGGATCGCACGCAAAAATAGCGCATGAGGTAAGAGAGTCATGTGGCGAAGTTTTCCGCGAACCGAGCGTGTAGTACAGTCAGGGTGGTCAACTAAAGCCCAGGGTAGGCAACGTAGCCGCCACCATTGAGAAACAAAAGGCAACAACAACAAAAACTAAACCATATCGGCAGCACCGGAAAAACAACAACAACATAGACGACAATACCAATTATCCCATCAATGAGTATACGGGAGCGCGTGCGCGACACTGCGGCGCACGCAATACTATACGGTGTAGCGACGGACCTGCCGGTGTCCTGCCGGTGTCCTGACGGACCGAAGGGGACAGTGGGTAATCAAAAGGCAGCCGACAATGGCCGTCGGCGTTTCCAGAAGGCTGGCCGTGCCACGACAGTGCCACGGGGACGTCCGGGCCGTCCGGACTGACGTCGCTCTGACTGACGTTGGGCTGACGTCGGGACGTCACTGCAGGCAGTGGGCCCCGCGGGGAGCGGGGTGTGCATGACCGCCTTCTTGTGGGGGAAGGGGAAGGGGGAGGGGAACGGGTTGCCTACCCTGCGGGCCTCCCGAATCAGGTGGGGCGCGGAACTGGGGCAGGGTGCGTCGTTGAAAGGGCATCCGCGGAGAGTGAATGGGGCACCGAGTGCAGCCAGCGAAGCTCGACCAAAACCCGAAGGACCCGATCGAAACCCGAAGGACCCGAACGAAACCCGAAGGACCCGATCAAAACCCGAAGGACCCGAACGAAACCCGAAGGACCCGGTCGAAACCTGAAGGAACCGATCGAAACCCGAAGGAACCGATCAAAATCCGAAGGACCCGATCGAAACCCGAAGGAACCGATCAAAACCCGAAGGACCCGAAGGACCCCAAGGGCTCGAGCGGAGCGTGCGGTGCGCGCATCACGTGACGAAACCACCCGACCGGCACCCCTGCCCAACGCCGAGCCGTGTACTTACGTCGCTCTGTCTCTCTCGCACTCTTAGGGCAGCCCGCGCGGGAGCGAGAGAGACAGAGCGACTGAGGATTGGTGGAATAATCACGGGCTTTCATCGCCTGGCTGGTGTAATCCCGCAGCACCACTGTAGGACTTCCCCTTGCCGCCGCTGCCGCCACGCGACGGCGGCGCCAGCGACACCGGTGGGGGCGGCGCGCAACTACCGCCTCCCTTCACGCCTCCACACCCTACAGCCCCACGCCGTACACGTGCTACACGTGGAGCAGGGCCGCCGCGGACCGCCACGGACCGCCACCGCAGCCCTGCACACTGGGAGGGAGGGGGCGGTCGCTCCCTCTCTCTCCCTCTCGCTGGCGCTCGGGGGCGAGCGAGACAGAGCGACGTTCGGCCTGACATTGGCACGTGGACGCCGCGACGCCGACGGCGAACTTGACATTCTTTGCGATTCCAATTAATTCTTAAAAATTGAAGGGACGCTCGCCGGCCGACAGCGGACACGCGGAAAAGGGCGGAGTTCCGTGGGCGGCGCTGCGCTGGGGCGGGGCGGGGCGGGGCGGGCCGCGGCGGGGATGAATTATGAATCGGATGATTGTCTTCTGGACTTAGCCGCTCGGTGGACGTGTGACGCCAGCGCCGGCAGCGCCGCCAGCGCTCCCCGCGGTCGACGTCGACGCCGTCACTGAATAAGCAACCCCTCCGCTCCGTTCCGACTGCGACTCCGCGACCGCCACGCCCAGGCCGCCCGGGCCACTTCGGTCACGTGAGGGACGACCCGCGACCGGAAAGCGACGGCCACGTCGCACCTGTCGCTGACGACCACGTCCTCGTCGATGACCACGCCGCCGGCAGGCCCGTCGCTCTGTCTCTCTCGCACCCTTACGCGACGCCGCGTGAGTGCGAGAGAGAGAGAGAGAGAGAGAGAGAGAGAGAGAGAGAGAGAGAGAGAGAGAGAGAGAGAGAGGCCTCGACAACGAGTAAAGGGTTTCTTACGCGCTAAACGTGTCGCAGCGCGGGACCGGTCACCACAGTGCTTCAGAAGACTGATGCATGTCCACCAGGACATCCCGGTGTCTGCCAGGCTGGGCGCGATGATGGACTGGATGACGTCGACGGCGAGCTTCCCGTCCGCCCTCAGGGCCTTCGGGGCCTTCAAGGTGTATGACGGCGGTGCAGTGAAAGGGGGCGCGGCGACGCGTCGGCGGGATGGGGCTCCAATCGAACGTCAATCGGCAGGCAACCGCGAGCGGCGGAGCGGCCCCCTCCCCTTCCTCACCAATCCGCGGCCCTCGCGGGGCGGGGCGGGGCGGGGCGGGGCGGGTGGCGGGGTGGGGGATCATCAGCAGCCGTAATGGCACGGCGCCACCGCTGCCGCCGCGGCGCACAATCACCAGCGACGCCGGCGACCCCACCGCCCCGCCCCGCCCCGCCCCGCCCCGGGCGCACCCCACCCAGCGCCGCACCCCCGCACCCCGCAGCGCCGCGGGCATCGGCGTAGCCGCGTAGCCGAGGCTTCGGCCCATCGACGCAGCGCGCAGCCACCGCGCAGCGCAGCATGGCGCACCCACTGCAGGTGTGCGTCCCGTGCGCGTTGCGCGTCCTTCCCCGCCGTTTCGTCGCTCTGTCTCTGTCGCACTCATGCTCTCACCGTGAGGGCGCGAGAGAGACAGAGCGACTGCCGGTGCAATTATTGCCAGCCTTCCGCCGTGGTGCACCGTAAGACAGGGGTTGCTGCATTGTCGGGCGCTATTTTGGCCGCCATCCGGGATCGAACCTCAGTCTGCGCTGCCCTCGGCGGACAGGGTGATCGGGATGCAGTGCGGTGGATGGGTGGGGCCTCCCGCGGCGTCCCAGGCAGCCAAGGCAGCCCCGTGTGCAGGGAGGAGGTGCGGTCATCCCTCGCCGACGGGAGGTGGGCGGGGCGGGGCGGGGTGGTGGAGGTAAGGCGAGCTCCTTCAAGAAGGTGGGAGAGTCAGTCACACACATTGCAAGAGTCGAGCGGATTTTTGTTTGACCGCCCTTCCGCCCCCACCCCGCCCCCCGCTACCCCGCGCCCCTCGGGGGGTCGGGCCGGTCGGGCCGGCGTGGTCCGCTGCTGGCTGGCTGCGCGGCCGGGCGGCCAGGCGGGCTGGCAGCAAGCATCCATCCAGTGCTGGCCTATTGTGAGCGCGGGGCCCCCGCAGCCCCCCGGTCCTCGGCGTGCCCCCTCCCCTCGGCGCTGGCCGGCTGCCTCGTCTGTGCGGCCGGACAACACGGAGGTGGCGGCGAGGCGGCGAGGCGGAGGGGGTGGTGGGGGTGGGCGGGGCGCGCGGCAGGCGGCGCGGCGTGCGGCGGCGGCGGCTGCCGCTCAGTCGAGGCGTGGAGAGTACGAGGGGCGGACACGGACGGCGACGGCACGACGTACGGAGAGGCGTAGCATCGCGTAGCAGACCGCCGCACCGCCGCAACACCGGCCAATGTTGTCATCTGTGCTTGCGAACACCGCGCGCCCGCAAACCCTGTCCAGTGAACTAGCGACGCGTCGCGACGCCAGACCGCCAGTGCGGACGGCCGGCCGGATCGCCTGCGAGCGGCACCGCCGCCTTCACAGTGCGCGAGTGATCTAGTTATGGAGTCATTGCAGTTTGTGTTGATGTTGGCGACGACGACGACGACGACCGCGACCAGTGCCACGAGAAGATAGCAACTAGTTTTTACCAAACCAAACGAATCAAAGCAAAGTAAAGTGCAGTGCAGCAAGCTGTGATTATTGTGAGTGCAACAATCGCTTCGACGCCGCCTTTGCAACTAGTTGGGATTTAAACTTTGACAACGGACTTGGCCGCTTCTCGTGGAAAAGGTGAGTAAGAGAGACACAGAGAGCATGGCTCCTTCAATTAGTGTTTCGCTTTGCTTCGCCGTTGTCCCTCCGTTTTTTTTGTCGGCATTGTGATTTTTTTCGCGAGTGTCTTGCCTGCCGATTTCTCCCGATGCCCGGCGAGACTGACGCTCCGCCACCACCGCACCGCGTAACCACCTTCAGTACCTGCGCCTCTCGCAGCGCTAAGTGCGCGTACTCGCAGTGTACTCGCAGTGACTGCCCCTCCGCCCTGCGCAGCCCTGCGCCCCGCGGCCGTTTAGCGTTTAGCGCGTCGAGGAATGCACCGCGGCGCCGCGAGGAGCGAGTTGCAGTTGGGCCGCCTGCACGCGCCGAAGGCAGCACACCGTTGCCTCTTGTTTTCAAAGCTCTCGTTTTTGCCAACCACCGCGGTTCAGGACCGATCTGTCACGCCCAGCAAATCCGCGCTCCCCCCGCCCCGCCCGCACTTGCAGTAGTGTTTTGCCGCCGTGGGACGCCCCGTGAGTGCGAGAGAGACAGAGGCACTCTCGCGGCCGTTGCGTCAGCAGGCTGCACTTTCGGCACTTTTTCGTCGCCATCGCGTGCCGATCGCGGCAACTGCGATTATTTGTTGGCAGTGGAGTGGAGTGTTCCTCCGGCCCTCCACCAATAATCGGCTCCCCGTATGTCGGCGGCCAGGCGGCCAGGCAGGCAGGCAGGCGGTGTTGTTGCAAGGCCAACAATGGGCAGGTGCACTGCAAGGCCGCCCCGCCCCGCCGCCACCCCGCCCGCCGTCCTGGCCCCGCCAGGCGGGTTCGTACAAAAATTAATTCAATTCGGCGGTCGGACCACAATTTCCCAGCCTCTTTTCGTCGCTCTGTCTCTCTCGCACCAGCTCGGTGCGCCCCGTGCGCGCGAGAGAGACAGAGCCTCGGCGTGTCTGGGCGCGCTGCTGATGCGTGCGCGTGCATGCGTGCGCACGGCGCGTCGCCGCGCCGCACGTCCACACCGGATCCGCTTTCTCTAGTCGGCTAGTCGGTTTAGGATATGGCATGGCCAGGGAAGTCGGCCAAGTCCGGCCCGTCGAGCGATTCGGCTGCCCGCGCTTCTCGCTCCGTCTCTCTCGCACTCGTGGAGTGCGCCGTCGCGGTGCGAGAGAGACGGAGCGAGGATTGGCCCGGCGCCGTCAACGGATTCCACTATTTCCGTTTTCCACCGCGGATTGGAAGACAATCGCATGGCGCTGCCCCCGCGGTCCGCGACCGTCCGCGACCCTCGGGCCGCCGTCCCTCTCGCACCACTCGGGGCGCCCCATGAGCGCGCGCGAGAGAGACAGCGGCGAAAACGACTCTCGGAATGAGCCTGCAGTTCGCTCTACTACTCTAGACCGCGATAAACTCGAACTAGAAGCGTATCATCGTCCGCACTGCACTGCTTGCATATTTGTGTCACGACGGCGCGATAGCCTCCCTGCTTCCGCCTCTAGAACACTGGGGCACTGCACTAGAATGGTGCACCACTGCACTAGAATGGTGCACCACTGCACTAGAATGTGCACCACTGCACTAGAATGGTGCACCAGGGCACTGCACTAGGGAATTCCAATCACTACATCGTGGTCCTTCCCCGGCCGCATTGGCCTCCGAAGGGAAGTCCCGGCCAAGTCGCTTCTGTCTCTCTCGCACTCGTGGGGCGCCCCGTGGCGGTGCGAGAGAGACAGAGCGACGAAACGACGATCCTTGGTAGACGAGGCAGCGGCCGGAAACGGGTTGCACTTCCCCGGGCGTTGGCAGCGGGCCGTCGGCTCGTCTCTCTCGCGCCTCGGCGGGACGCTCCACGAGTGCGAGAGAGAGGGGAGACGTCGTTTCCATGCGAAATGCGTGGCGGCGTGCGGCAGGACGCGTCGATTGTTGACGGTGCATGCAGTGTAGTGCCAGGGGCCAGGGCATGTCGGGCCGGGGCCGCTACTACGGCGCCGTGGCGGTGCCAGCGCAGAGGCTTCGCGATGACACGTCGCCGGCCCCGGTCCCATGTCGACGTGTGTGTGTTTTTATTAGTGTGTGCGCACGCGTGCCTTGCACGTCGAGGTACACGAGGTGCTGCACCCCGCGCCTCCGCTCGCCCTGGAAAGTGCGCAAGGCGGCCAAGAAGTGCGTGGGCACGGCGGCGCGGCGTCTGGCGCAGGCTGGTGCGTTCGTCGCTGTCTCTCTCGCACGCCAAGGCGACGCCCCGTGGGTGCGAGAGAGACGGCGAGGAATGCGCCCGCGAGGCGTCGCGGCGTCGCTAGCGCGCGGCGTGGGCGCGGGCCGGAGCGGCGGGGACGCCTGCATCGCGGACCTGCAACCTGCCCCCCGCGGTCCGTGCCGTGCCGTGTCCGTGCCGTGCCGTGCCGTGCCGTGCCGTGCCGTGCCGTGTCCGTGCCGTGCCGTGCCGTGTCCGTGCGGCAGGCGGCGGGGACTTCCCTGCCGGCTGTGCCGTCCCTCTCGCTCCTCCACGAGGCGTCACGTGGGTGCGAGAGAGGCAGAGCGTCGAGCGTGCTGGCGGCGCTGCATGTCGTGGTCGCGAGCCGCGCGAGCTGCGAACAATCCCCCTGCCCGTCAGCGAGTCGGTGCTGGCGGTGCGGTTTCGCCGCCCAGCTTCCCGGAATCGGGGATTCGAACCCGCGTCGTTCGCTTCCGCCCGCTAGCTCCCAGTCCCCGCGGCCGTCGGTTCCTCTGAGCGCGGCGGCGGCGGCTCTCGGCGGCGCGGCGCTGTGTTGTTTTGCAGCCGAGCGGCGCACGGCACAACAACGCGTCACGCGCCGCGGCTTCCTCGGCACAGTGTCATGTTTCTCCCCGCCGTGGACGTGGCCATTCCAAAGCCGCCGCTTTTGCGGAAACGGCCAAGGTGTTGTGTCTGGCCGCGTCGCCGCGTCGCCGCGTCGCCCGCCCTGCCGTGTCGCCATTTCCCGATTCGCCCCTTGGATTCACACACCTAGGATTATGTAGCGAGTGTCGATACCCCCTGCCCGCAGTTTGTCTATGAAGCGTGGAGAGTCTCTCGCGCGCGGGGTATGGCCGGACCGAGCCGTTGGCCGCTCCTTCCCCCGCCGGCACTGCACTGCTAGTCTGCCCGGGCTTGTTGGTCTTCGTGTCATGTTACCACACTGGGAAGCTCGTGGAGACGGCAACGCGGAGTGCTTGCTTTCCGTGCGTCATGTGTGCGTGTGTTTTCTGGTTGCAGTTGCGGCCGAATGAGTTGAAAGACTCCAACCCAACCTTCGGTGATCGGGGCCTTAGATGATCCAGATGGGGGGCCTGACCGCCGCCACCGAGCAGCAGTACAGCTTGCGCTGGAATGACTTCCACGCGAGCATACTGTCGTCCTTTCGACACCTGCGAGACGAGGAGGACTTTGTCGATGTCACGTTAGCCTGCGATGGGAGATCGTTCACCGCACACAAGGTATTTATCAAGTCTTTGCATCAACATTGGAACTTGGAGTACGAATTAATTTGTTTTCCCCCCTCCCCCAGGTGGTTCTCTCAGCATGCAGTCCCTACTTCAGGAGGCTTCTCAAAGCCAACCCCTGCAATCATCCAATTATCATTCTCAGAGATGTGCAGGAAAAGGATATGGAAGCTTTGTTAAGGTTCATGTACAATGGTGAAGTCCATGTGGGTCATGAACAATTACCAGATTTTCTCAAAACAGCTCAAACATTACAAGTCAGAGGGCTTGCTGATGTACCCAACAAAGAAAACCGAGTACCTGCAATGGTTGGTAGTTTATCTTACTTGTAACTAATATTGTGCCTAGTTCTTGGAATTTATCATTTTGTGTTGTTTCAGTTAAATGACTCGCCATGGCCCACTCCTGGTGACGAGGTGCCAAGCAGAGAATCTGCTGCTGATGGCTCTCTCTCCCCCCCTCCCTCAAAAAGAAGCAGAACAAATGAGGAAAGGCATACACCTCAGCATGATAGAGACTCTTCTCGAGACCATAGAGAGAGAGACAGGGAGAGGGAGCGAGACACTGAAAGGAGGGACCAAGAGCGAGAGCGAGACCAGGCAAGAGACCAGGATCGTGATTGCTCACCTGCTGCTCGACGAACACCTCACCATTTGCTCAATAACAGTGTAGGACCTGAGCACCATTCTCTTCTTGGCCAAGCTCTAGAGGGAGGCCCTCAGGTTTGTTATCAGTTTTTTATAAAATTTGTTTAATAGTTTTCCTAAATGTCAGTGAAATTTACCATTTCCTTTTTGTTCAGATGAAAAGTGGAGACTCAGCTCATGTTTCCTCACATTCAACGGGTGAAGACGATGAGGAAAGCAACTCTGGCAGTGACACTGGAATATCGGAGAGAGGCATTAGTGGTCTGACTGACATGGTGCGTCCCAAATCAGAACCCTCAGACTACAGTATGGAGGACAACAACGGACATGGACCTGGCAATGGTGCCTTAGGAATGGACTCACATCGATCACCTAACTTCCCCGCAGCCTTATTAGGACTTCAAGGTAAATGATTGTAAACTTTCAGCCTCTGCCATCTAATGTGCTTGTGTTGTCTGTATGTCTAAAATATTTTCATTTTTTTCTCACCAGCAGGCCTTCCTGGTCTTCTTCCAGGCCCCTCTGGACTTCATGGCAGTCAGGAAAACAACTTTGGTAAGTTTTGTTTCTTTGCCTTTTAAATTTTTTTCTCATTTTTCTGAATTTACTCTTTCTTCTACACTAGAAGCATTTCTTTTAAGAAACAGTGCTGTAGAATGCCTTTTCTCTCAATCTCTAAAAATCTTTGTTTTCCAAATGCTATGGTTTATAAATATTTTGCCTGATTTGAAGTACTTTCTTCCATTTTATTTTTTTTGGCATAGGATTCCACATTATTAGAACTACAGTATATCCATTTTAATTTTCTTTGAGCTACATACTATTACAAGTGCTTTTTTTTGTTTCCTCCCCACTTGTGATGATTTATGCTGAAAAAAACTTACACATATCAAACTACCTTTCATATCAATGCAGTATACTTGTTTCTTTCTCAACCTGAAGTTTCGTAGCAGTTCTATGTTTAAGGCCATTGTACCCACTTCTTTAAGATTGTCAGTGCCTTCTAAATTTTGTGATTGTAGTAGAGCTGAAGCTAAAAATTCATAAGTTTGCCTAGGTTTGAACTTTCTGATTTTCTGCACATTGTTTTCAATTTCTTAAAAAATCTGTGGTTCGTATTTAGCTCATTTGTTTTCAAAATGTAAACATTGGCTTTCAAGAAACAATATCATCTCATTGTGCAAGATGATAAAACAATAATAACTGTTAGTAAAAGTGAAGTAGCTTTGGTCGGCTTTTGTTTCTCTAGCTTTGTATGAATGCATGAGTATGTTCAAACGAGTGACGTACAGTGGAGCTGCAGGCTGGCCATTGAAACTAACGGCTGGCCTGGGCTTCCAGGGAACACGTGTGGGTCCATGTCTGCGCCAGGCCCCATGCCAAGTTCTCAACCATGGATGCCCGGTATTGTCGAGTACAGCTTCAGCCAAGGTGGAAGTCAGGGATCAGTGGAAGATTCGGCTCTTCATCAACCATACTTCCATCATCAGGTTTCGCGATCTCTTCAACCAAAGCCCAAGTGCCCAGAATGTGGGAAAGAATACTCAAACAACTCAAATCTAAAGCAGCATATTGCTAATGTTCACATGGAAGCACAGTATTGGGAGACTTGTCCAGTCTGTAGCAAACAGTTCAAGACAAGACAATATCTGCAGGTTCATATGCTGTCTACACATGGTATAAGACAGCGCAAGAATTTCCAAACTGGGGCGCAGTCCTTCCATTCTTCTTTGTGAAATTTGTCATCTTAGGAATCGTAGTTTTCAGGCATATTGTCTGAACCTCTTCTCGATAGTATATTATGTTGTGTAAGTTAAAATACTCGTCTTGATTGGACATTTGTATGCCTGATTGTTCGATCTTAGGATACATTTGCAAATGTTTTCCAAGGCAATGACTGTTGTAATTTTAAATTTAGACTTTTTCTACTTTGTGATATTTTGACATTGTTTCTGGTTAGTTCTTGTATTGTAGAATGCTTGTGTGGGCAAAACATGGGATTCTCATCTAGATTTGAGCAATGTTACCATTTGGAGAGCTGTAGCTCATTAAACTCCCAACTACTATGTACTATGTTTTCTTGTGCAGTCTTTTGTGTGCTGTAAGGGATTTTAAAGGCCATTATCCGATGTGGACCATTCGATTCGCACAAACTGTCAGCCTCCAACACGCACTAAGCGATGGCGGTGTGTGTTGGTGTGTTGCAGAGCGGCCGGTGTGTCCCTACTGCGAGCGAGCATACAGCTCTCCAAGCAACCTGCGACAGCACATTCGGAACGTTCATATGGAATGCTCGCGTGACCAGTGGCTGCACTGCAATGTTTGTGGAAAGCCTTGCAAGACGAAGCATTACCTCATTAATCACCAACTCCAAGCCCATGGCATCCGACAGCGACAGCAACAGTTTCCTGTGCCGGAACAACCGTTTTAATTGCTTTCAGAAATAAAATTGAATTAAGCTTTAGATATTTGACTTAAATGATGTTTTTGGTTCCATTAAGTGTTGCTTATGATCATGAGTGATTTGTTCAATATTTCTCTCACTTTTTTTTGAATGTTATTTTTCTCAAAAGAGATCCTTAAGTGATTTTAAGTTACACTTTGTGTCTAGACAGAAATATATTTTCCCATCTTTCCTTTCTTTGTAGTCTCTGTTTTACAATGAAGTTTATTTTTATCACTTGAGTTTGGATAACCATCAGTATTTGTTGTAGCTTGGTATTCGTAAGACATCATTATAATTGCTGTGTAATGTACACTATTTGTAATAGCCAAGAGATTTGGCAAGACTACTGATACTATGGTATGTGATATTTCTTGTTCCAAATTTTAAAAAAAAATATAATTACGTGTATATGTACAATTTCTGTGCATGCACTACATATTCCAATTATTCATTCAGTATTGATTGACTTGCACGGTATATTGTTCCATGCTGAAGTAGTTTTCTCTCTTCTCAGACCTTTTCTTGTCTTTTGGCTTCATTGTTGATAGAATTTTGGTGTTACAAATTTTGGTGTAACAAAGTTTTGTTGTGTTTGTGTTCTACAGTAAAATTCTTTACTGCTGTGAATTTGGAATGATGTATCTTTATTGTAAAATAATTTCTGGGTAGGTCTGATGCATAAATATTTAATGGCTATTTACAGTAATTAACTGGAAAGGAAATATTTCTGTTAGTGTTCGGGAAAAACCACTATTTGATCACAATTGGAATGGAATTTCCATGATTATCATTGAGTAACGAGAGGGACTTCAGTGGCTGCTCTGTCTTTTCAGATGCTGGTGACGGTGGAGCTTTGTGGGACACCAGGCCTAACAAGTACGAGTGTCCTCTCTGCGATCAAGTATTCTCACAAATCTTAAGCATTCGAGAACATCTTGATCAACATTATCCTCGTGACTCCCCAACGTGTCCAGCTTGTTACAAAAATTTTGCTCATCCTAACTCTGTTCGAAATCATATGCGAATGAAACACAAAGCTGTGTGGGAGCAAATGAAGTATTTAAAGTGGAGCCAGTCTATGTTCGTCCCTAGTTAAAAGGGTTTAAATTTCTTAAATTATGCGCTTCACCATTATTTTGCAGCTTCTTGCAAACATTTGAAAACCAAAGAAGTATTATTGACTGATCCTTTTTTTTTCCTTGTAAGTTTTTACAACATTTGAAAGGAAGTGATGGCTGTGGTGTTAATTTATTGTTTCCTCTAAATGTTAATGTTCGTCACATTTGAGTGGGAATTTAAAATAGTTGACCTGTGAATATAGAGTTCATAAATGTGATATGAACTACAAAAATTTTAAGTATATGATATGAAGAAATGCATCAGGCATACTGCAGATTTATATTGTGTGTAGCTGCTGTCTGTATCTTTTCCAAGTTGATAATTGGATTTGTGTCCTGAGAAATTTGATGTTTTGTATTGTAATATTTAACTTTGTAATATAAAATCAAATCCTACTTCTCTCTTGTCTTTCTTCAACCTACCGCATTCTCCAATAATTAGCATATTTGTGTGTCAGCTCAGGTTCATTTGTACACTTAGTATTTTTTTTCCATTTGCAAGTTGAAATACGGATAAAAATTGTCAACCATTACACTCACAAACACAAACTCTCGTGCACACATCACTATCAGCATAAATCATCATTTGTGTTTGTTATATTTGAAAATCTGCTGAAGAATAGCTGTTTAATATTTCCTTTATTTTCCTTCCTATTTACAGTTAATCGTCGCAGCCTGGACATGATGAGAGTACGAGCTACAGACCCCAGGCCATGCCCCAAATGTGGAAAGATCTATCGTTCTGCGCATACATTGCGCACACATCTAGAAGACAAACATACAGTGTGCCCTGGATACCGTTGTGTTCTTTGTGGCACTGTTGCCAAGTCTCGAAATTCACTTCACTCTCACATGAGCCGACAACATCGTGGTATTTCTACAAAGGATTTACCAGTTCTTCCCATGCCCTCTCCATTCGATCCAGAACTGGCATCCCGACTGCTGGCTAAGGCTGGTGTCAAGGTCACTGCAGCTGAACTTCGAGCTAGAAGTTCTCCTACTGGTCCCCCAAGAAGGTATGTTACCTAATGTAACTAATATCTTTTCATCATTGGCAATTTGTAAAATAACTATTGTACTAATCTTCATTTTTCAATCACTTTTTGTAGGTCTGACATGCGTTTGGACTTGAAGCTGGAAAACAACATGAACAACATGAGGTTTCCAGGGGCACCTTCTGAAACAGGGAGCAGCATAGGGCGTGGTGATGACATGGACGACCCAGAGGATCTCACTGTGCCTACGCACAGATTTGGTGGCGTCGACATAACAGCAGTTAGTCCCCCCTTAAATAACATTAATAGTCATCACCTAGACCGAGAACGGGACAGGGACAGAGATAGAGACAGAGAGCGAGACCGCGACAGGGGCGGTGGCCAAGCAACAATAACGAAGATTGGACCACCCTCCTCTCCGCGACACCACCCGCCTCCGGGCGCTACCATGTCTCAGCACCACCAGATGCATGGAGCGGTCCTGGCTGCCAAGTCAATGGACTCTGTGAGAAATCGGGGAGGTGTTCAAGACGCTCCCACTGGACCTCCTGGACCTCCAGGGCTCATGGGCAGCAGCGCCATCCTGGACGCCTACCTGCAAATGATTGCAGAAAGTCAAGGACTGAACATGAACAGCGAACAGGCAGCACACGCTGCGGCAATCGCAGCCCACGCTCATGCTGCCAAACTGTCTGCTGAACTCCGCAACAAAAACAACAATGAAGTTGATGTTGATCGGAAAATGATGCCAGGTGATCCAGGCGAGTCATCCGCTGGGGAGGAGGAAGAGGGCTTCAGTGAGGACGAACCGGAGCCTATAACAGCAGAATAAGTGTGACTCTGTATTTTTATGGAGTAATCCATGACTTAATTGTTTTAGTTAGCTGGATTACTGAACCAAAGACAGCTTTTGTGAAATATTGAACATTTTTTTTTTTCAAATTCAGTCTAGTGAAGTGTGCCAGTTTCTACTGGAGTATTCAGGGTATTGTTGCTTGAGATTCCATCCGACTTCTCCATCTTATGCTGCCCACTAGGTTCCTATGGGCTGTGGTTTTACTGCAGTTCACAGTAGGTGTGTTATACTGTTGTGGAGTTAATAGTATTTATTGTGACGCATAATGTAAGCGCCACTCTGTTAGGTTCTGATGTTGTTAAACTTTGTTGTTTTTTCTGTCCTTTCTACCTTCCTATTGGATGGTTAAGAATTCAAGTTTCTTTTAAGGATTTTTGTTTAAAAATCTTTCTTTTAAATTTATGTGCCTTCCTATTGGTACATGCATGATAACAGTACAACTATGCAACAAACCTCAGGGTTCGAAGATATTCTTGATATTGCGTCTATGATATATCAATCCACTCAGGTTGGTTTTGATGCAAACCTGTGTCAAACCACTCAATTTCAGTACAATATGTGAAATACTGGTATTTATTTATAAAGTAAAATGGATATGTTCTGGTTGCTATCTGCAATTACAGTCATACTGGTACATAACATAGATTAGGTTTTGTATCATTATTGTTGTATAGTTTAAAAACCATATGTATGTTCACTTTCACAATACATACTTATGAATGTGTTACATCCTCAAGTACAAAGAATATAAACCGGGTCAGAAGTAGAAATAGTTAGTTGGTCAGTGTCATGAATAGCTGTGCACTTTTGCACTTATTTTATTTTATGGGAGAGGCTCATTCCCTTTATTAACTACCTCAGTGTGGATGCAGACAGGGTGGAGCATTTTTGCTCCAATATTTATGCAAACTTTGCATCTTTGCAGAACACTCCTGAAGGAAGTTTGTCCTCAGGAGTGTGGCAGTTCTTACCCTTCTCCTTGAAGCATTTTAACAAGTGAGAACACTTCTTTTCAGTAATCCGGAAACCTCTTATCTTGAGAACCATTTTTCAACTGGGCATGTCATTGTGCCTTGTATTAAATTTTCTAATAGCTTAGGGTGGAGAATGGTAAGAAGTTGCATTTCTATATATCATTTCATACGGGTAAATGCATTCCACACATACTGTTCTCATAGTTGTAGTCAGAGCGCTTCCGAGGGATGTGATCCCATATTCCGTTCTACCTCATTCATAACATAATGTGATGTAAAGAGTCTCTCCTGTACCATTTTCTAGTGGAGTATTAACCTGTGATTTTACAGGTAAAAGGCGTGTGATACTCCTCCTGCTCAAATCACCCACCCATATACTGATACAGTTATTGAGTCCCATTCACGTTATATATTTTTATATATACTTGTTCTTTTTTTAGTTTGCTCATTTTGTAGCTGTTCATTCCTGTAATTTGCTGCGTACCTGTCTCTCATGTCATCTTGCATCCTACAAATATTTTTCAGACCAAACCTAACTCCTTATTTGTGAGAGCCTACTGGAGGGTAGGTTTTACGGCAGCTTCTTGCTGTTTTCTACAGTTACAAATTTCTGCGTAATGTTATATTGTCCATATCAATGTACTTCAGTCAGAGATTATTTCACACTTGTACCATAGTCAGGTATTATCTTGCATACATCCTTTGTAGCATAAAGCACTACCAATCAAAACTGTTCTGTGATTTGTTATTCAAAACATTATGACTTTATGATAATTGTTTACTTTACCTATCTAATGGGTGCATTTAGAAGCTATGTCAATAACAGGGCAGCATTAAGAACCATTATAAGAAACGGGTCATTTTTCTTGATTTGAATGAGTGGTTAGAAAGTTGTGTGCTGAATTCAGTACACACATTTTCTGAGGTAAAATCCAAGTCTAATGGAGCAATCCAGCTAGGATGGGAGTTAAAGGTGTTCTTGTCATTGTGTTAATAGAATGTGACATTAGGACTGTTGTTGTTGTTGTTTTATTATTAATTTGTTGAGAGCCATCACAGCATGAAGCTGTGCTTCACAAAATTTGCTTGTAATGTAAATGTTAATGTGAATGTCTGCTGTGCTTGGTTTGCAAAGGTTGCCAGAGTTACTTGTGCTTTCTGAAAATGTTTTGTATAGATGGCATCGAGAGGGTGCTCCCATGTGTTTATGTATGATGGTTTTATTATGAGTAAATCAGAGATAATATATGTATATACAAATAAAATTGGAATATGGTTGATTGATATAAAAAAAATAAGTTCGTTAGTTGTTCTAGTGTCAGAGAGTAGCTTTGTTGCCACTGTAGATAAGTCGATGTTAGTGAAAAGAAAAACGAAATTCAAAGTGGATCGTGGCACTATAGTCGTCCATAGGTCTGTGGTGCCCAGTTATTTAGTTCTAGTGCATGTTGCATTATGGGGTAAATCTCTTATTGTTATTAATGCAATCTTTTGTTCTTTTATTTTGATTTAGGGGTATGTTGCCAATTTAACACTCAACCCGCCATAGTCTTTTTGGTAATTTTTATACCCCTAGTGAACACCACAACGTAAGGGCTTTGACTTGAGTAGGAAGACTCTCTGAAGTATAAAATTGTTGCAAGCTTATTTATTATACATATACAGCATTATAGAAAGTACTGAGTGCCATACTGACCATTTACCTGTAAGAGAAACATCCAAGTGTGTCTCAATGCTGTGTTAAAAACTTGCTCTTGGAAAGCTTTGGTTAGGTAATCTTCAAAATGAAAAATGGTTCCTATAGGTTGCCTGCGGTTCCTCAACAATTTTTTGAAACTTTTGTATTTTATTTTTTTAAAAAGTATCCGGCAGGATTTTAGAAGTAACCACTAAAACATTCTGATGTTGGTTGTTGTTGAGGATCTGGGTGCCTTCAAAAATTTAATGCTAATAGAGCACTTGCATTTATTAGTCCTCATATTGCATGATGGTAATTAAGGCTGAAATGTGGCACATTACGGGTATTTTCATGATTCTATTGTAATGTTCGGATTTTCACCTAAGAAATGAATGGAATCATCTAATGCTTGATGGAAAGGTTTACTGTTGTCTTTAATCCATTTGAAACAATAGGAAATGTGTATGGGTAGTGATTGTTTACTGCTGTGTATACAGACAGACACTTGCCTGCTTTTACAGGTGTTCACAGTTCCTATCTTGTACCCTATTGACAAATCATAAGCATAGAAATTTTTTATAGATTATGATGTAGACAAATGTAAATGCAACTGTTGCGCAAATGCAGTGGATAAGGTAACATTTTTCATTACATATTTTTCCATTACCTGCCTGGGTTTCTATATTTCTTGGAGCAATTGGTTTTGTCCTGTAGTTTGTACTGCATTAGGTTTAATTTGACTTTTGTTTCCATTGTGTTCATAATTTGATGGCTAGGAGTATCTTTTAATTTTTGTATATGTCAGGTATATACTAAGATTTGTACAAATAATAGTCATTGAAATTGTTGCCATCAAAACATACTACCTCAAACTTGTATATTTTGATATTCATTAACACTGCAACATTTTGTTTTATTTCTCAAGAAGGAAATATTTCAAGGTGCTGTATTCTGTTTCCAAATATGTTTGAAATTATTTTGTTTCTTTGTAATTAGTTCATGGTTTTCAGCCACATATTTTGTATTTTATGTGTGGCTTGTTGTTCTACTTACATTGTCATTTCATTCAGTTGTGGTGTTAAGAAGGCTTTAATTTATTGTGTTTTAGCGCATTCTAGTGTGCAGTTGGAAAATTTCTGACTGTGATTTTTCCCTCTGTACCCTTTAATGTGTTCAAGTGTTCAATCAAGGAACTAACATTAAACAGTAAAATTTTCATTTAATGTGCTCTTGATTCTTTTCCCTTATTTGAATAAAGACAATTTTATGATGTAAATGTGTTGAAATTTTGATTTATTTTTTTTCTATTGCCTGTTACTGGTTTGTGAAAGACCATTACTTCGAACAATTGGAAAACAACTGGGCACAGTGTGTTGTGACTGTTGCATATTTAAATGACTTGCATTAGGTTTTGTATTATGGTAGGACGATTCAAATTGGCATGTAGTTTTGTTTGCAATTTGCACTGTAGGCAATCACTACACATGCTTCAGTTTTCAATGATTTGTTGATAGCTCTGTGGAAAAGTAAATACAGGAGTGTAACTAAAATACGAGTTCCCTCAAATTTTTCGAACAGACATTTTTATGTTGTGGACAAAGCAAAAGTTATTTTTCAAACAGAATGCAGCTAAATTAAAAGTAGGTCTTGACTACTGAAAGAATGTTTAGGAGTCTTTATCACTTCTATGTGATTCAGAAAGGCATGCAAAATGTTTTGTATGACACTTGTAAATAAGGAAGACTGACAGATAATGCTGTTGTTTTCATGACAAACTAAAGTTATGCACTCAAAACACAACTGAAAAAATTGTCCATGGTTGTAATGTTATTATACCGTTGTTGTTTTACCTTGCAAGCATGTTTGGCTGCCTTCATTATGTGTGTGTGATAAATTCAAAGTCAGTTAGTGGAAAACACACCGTTTTGTTTCTCCAATATTAGGTATAGATAGGACATTATTGGCCTTGTGATATTGTTAGAAGATTGACCGATTTACATATAATTTTGAGAATTATCGTAAGTACATGGTACGTGCATCAGCGCTTTTCTGCTCTCACACTGTGCTGGCTGTCATTTTATAATAATACTAAAGAAGAAATGGTAGGATCCAATAGTTTGTATATATCTATATAAAATATTAATAAACGATTAAAATTTATGTAACAAATAAAAAACATTTGCCCTGCAACAAGAAACCTGTTATGCTTCCTTTGAACCTTAGTCCAAAATTTCTACATTACATATGACACTTCTGATATTCTCTCTTGAGTCTTACACTTAAAATCTCAAACCCTTTCACAGATCTACAATCACCATCAATTAGCAACAATACTTACAATTTTTACAGAAAAATACCAAAAGGGGTGTATAGTATTACTGCCAGTTGTGCATACTATTCGCACCACAGTTTCCAAACTGCCAATAGTGGGCCTCTTCTGCTGTTTGTCTGCTGTCTGCTGCAGAGATCGGAAGATAAGGTTAAAGTCCGGGTTGACTCGAGTTGAGTTTATTTTGACACAAACATTTAAGTGAATTACTGTTACAGTATATCGTTTCCACATAGGTTGAATCATAGTTCGGTCTTAGTGCATATTTAACTATCAGCATCTGTCTGTCATCATTAGAGGAAAATTTTTGATTTTACCTATCAATTTTGTCTGCTAAGTTCACTAAACTTGCAGTGATGCTCTGAGTCTGATAGTTTCATCATTCATGATTAGTTATCTTATGAGCTCTTAACAAAATCGTAAGTTGAGTTCGGTCCAGTCCAGAGTGTCAGTTCTAATCAAACCATTGGCAAACATAGTCACTTGAGGTTAACTTCTTTCATAGATTCAACATGAATGTTCGGGGTGTCAATGCTGCTAAAAGCATTTTAAGAAATAGAAGCAGCTCAAGCAAATTTGGTGCATTCACCAGCAGCCAGTTGCACTCAACAGCAAGTGCAGCTCTTCCTCTGAAATCTTATGAGGAGGTTCAGATCCCTGTTCCTTGGGGGCATATCTCAGGCAAGTTGACTCAAATCTACCAAAGAGTGTCCTTCCTTTTGCCACTTTTCAACAGATTCTATTTTTCTTACAGGTAAATGGTGGGGACGTAGAGATGTGACCCCTGTCCTTGGCTTGCATGGATTTGAAGACAATGCCGGAACATATGATGGTCTGGCTTCGCTGTTGGATGTGCCGGGCTTCCTTGCGTTAGATGCTCCAGGCCATGGAAAATCTTCACATGCACCATGCGGGATGGCTTACACCTTCATTGATTTCGTCATTGCTTTGCGGCGTGTGGTCCAACATTATGGATGGTCGAAACTATCTATCATAGGGCACTCCTTTGGTAGTGCTACGACCCACATTTATTCTTCTCTGTACCCATCGAATGTAGACAAATTTGTAAGTTTGGACTGTGCAAGGACCTTAATGGCTCTTTATCCCACTAGAGGAAAGTATGGTCTGTCACTTCTTAAAAAGATAAGCGAAGTTACAATCAAGGCTGATCGAGATGTAGGTAAGGACCCTCCAGCATACACTTATGAAAATATGGTGGATGCATTTTGCAAGGCAACCCAGGACTCGGTAGAGAAGGAGCATGCAGGACCTCTGCTTCAGAGGGGTTCAATGGCACACCCTCAGCAACCTCAAAACTTTTACTTCAGCAGGGATTCTAAACTCAGATATGGTGACTTTTGTCGTCCTAATCTTGAAACTTTACAAGAATCGGCTAAAAATATCAAGTGCCATGTGTTGACTGTTCTGGGCACCCAAGGATTTGTAAATGTGCTTTCTGATGCCGATGCAGGCAAAGCGTATTTCCATCTAGAGAAGCTGGTAGAAAAGTCTGCAGCAAGTTATAGTAGAGTTAATGTTGAAGGAACTCATCATGTACACCTCAATAACCCTGAAAGAGTTGCCCCACACATCAATAAGTTTTTGGCTCAATAATTGTGTCAATTTATAGAAAAAATTTGTAAATATTTTTGCTATTGGCAACTGCTTTGCTTAAAAATATGTGATATAATTTACTTATACTTGTATAGTATTTTTGTATGGCTGGCAAGGTATTACTATTTTGAAGTATTAATAAATAAAACTGTCAGTAATTTAATAAAAAGTATATAATGTGTTTGTTTTGATCTTTTTGAAACCTCCATGAAAACCCGCACACACAGTCAATCAGGTGGGGTGTCCAAAATACCGGAAATACGTCGGAAAGACGAGCAAGGCTTTAGCGCCTGCGAGGTAGGCCACCCACCCGTCCCGCAGTACACCGGAGTGGAGACGGTGGCCTACCCCGCCCCTGTGAAGACGACAGGGGCAAGGTAGGCCAGCGTCTCCACACCAGTGTGTTGCGGGACGGGTGGGTGGCCTACCTCGCAGGCGCTCCAGTCCGCGTGCTGCGCGCGTGGCGGTGCGCCAAACCCAAGGGCAGCACAGCCTTCTTGTGCGGCCACAAGCAATGAAACACTAGCAGGCTCTAGAGGAGCTCTATAGACCGCCCGAAAGTAATGTAGTTCTCTAGCCCGAGCAAGGGATGATGGCAGGAGTGCCACATCCACAACACGATGATGAGCTCGAATTGGTTTGGCCTCGACATCTGGGATCCGTGCCATTCGGAGAGCAGCGTGTCACTCTCACAACGCTCTTAAGGAGTGTCCCATGAACGAGAGAGAGAGAAACGACTCTTCTTAATCGCTCGCGGGGCGCCGTGCGGGTAGGCGACCCATCGTGCTCTCGGCCTTATTCTGGGAGGGCAGAGCAGCCGGGAGGACGCGCGGCTGCACTGTATCCACACACACACACACACACACAGCCACCCGGTTTCGACTTTATTCCCCGCGATGCTGGCAAGCTTTCTTTACACTGTTGTTGTTTGCGCGCGGACGATTTTTCCTCTTCTCCCCCTCGCCTGCCTGGGCCGCTGCGCCTCTCTTTTGGCCCCTTTTGGGTTGTTTGAACACCCGTGACTGTGCGCGGCTTATGAATAAATCGTCCTGCCCTGCTGCCCTGCCACTTACACATTCACGTGAGCTTGCTTCGGGTTGCTGGGGGGGGGGGACCCCGCCCGGGCTGCCTTGTTCCATCACTGCAAGGCGTAACATTCCGTGACGGCGTGCCGCGGCCGCGCATCCCGCAGCGGTGCCTCGTCTTTCTGTCTCTCTCGCACGCGTGGGGTCGCCTCGCGAGTGCGAGGGAGACAGAGAGACGGAGGCACTGTTCGGAATAAGCCTGCTGGGACTGGCTGCCTGGCCTGCCTGCCTGGCCCGGACGCGCGGCGCCGCGCCCTGTCGGCTTTCCCTTCATCCCCTTCCCGACGAGGAGCGCGGCGCGGCAGTGCGGCGGCCTTGACGGCGTGCTCGGGGTGCTGGCGGTGCTGGTGGTGCCCCGCCGAGGTGTGCACCTCCGGCTTTGCGCCCTTTGAGCCTTATTTCTTATTTTTATGTCCGCGACGAGCCGCGGATTCGCGCGAGCCTGCCGTGTCCATGCAGCGGCACGGCACGGCACGGCGTGGCGGCCGTGGCCCGGATCCGGACGTAGTAAGAGCAGCGTGACTTTTTGGGGTGGGGGGCGGGCGGGGCGGGCGGGCGGGGGGCGGGGGGGCCGTAGGGGCGGGGGCGGGGCGGGGCGGGGCGGGGCGTAGGGGCGGGGCGCTGCGACGTGATGCGCACCCCTCCCCGCCCCGCCCCTGTACGCGCGCCACTACTGTACCGCCTCTTCTGTCTCTCTCGCCCTTTCGCCCCCTAGCCCAGTCCCCTCCCCCTCGCCGAGCCCAAGCTGCTTCGCCCGCTTCGCCCGCTTCGCCCGCTTCGCCCGCTTCGCCCGCTTCGCCACCCCGGGGCTGGCATGCTGGCATCGCATCGCGCCGCATCGCGCCGCCGGAGCGACTAGCACGACTAGCTGGAGCAGTCTCCGTCACACTGGGGCGGAGAGCGGAGAGCGGGACTAGCGGGGCGGCAGAGGAGGCCGGGCGGGGGCGGGGCGGGGGCGGGTCGGGGGCGGGGAGAGTCGGAGAGCGAACCCCTCCAGGCTCTCCAGCCCTCCAGCCTCCAGCACCGCCAGGCGGGCTGGGCCAGGCAGGCCGGGCTGGCTGGGCCCAGGGCAGGGGGTGGCCCAGCGGCGCCCAGCGGCGCCCAGCGACGAGGAGCGAACAGCCCCGCGTGGAACAGGTTGGGGAGGGGGCCATGACGTCACGGCCGCCATGGCAACGCGACGGCCGGAGCGGGCGGAGGGCCGAACTGCAGTGTTAGCTGGTAGCCGCTAGGTGACTCCGGCGGCGCTGGCGGCGCTAGCAGCGCTCTGCGCGCTACGGGGCCTCGACTGCCGCGCTGCCGCCTGCCCCGGCCTAGTGGCGCTGTGCTGGCGCTGTGCTGGCGCTGTGCGCGCAGTGAGGGGGGAGCGGAGGGGGCGGTGGGGGTTGGCGGGCGCCAGGCGGTGGGGGTGGAGAGCGCGGCGCGGGGAACGGGGCGGTGTAGGGGGCGGCGCAGGGGGCGGTAGTGGGTGGTGGGGAGCGAGGCGGGGCGGAGGTCTGGGGCTGCCAGGGCTCCACGGGTAAAAATCAATTTAGAACGCAGTCGGTAGTGTGCGGTTCAAGGGAGCGGTGTGGGAGTGGTGCGGGTCGGGTTGGGGCCACCGCGCTGCGGGTTGGACCCTGGCGCGCGAGCGCGGAGCACCGCGGAGCACAGCGCTGCACAGCGGGGCGAGGCCACGCGAGGCTGGTGTGGTTCGGTCGGTCTGGGGCTGCCTCGAGGGGCTGGCCGAGGGGCCGACGGCGAAGGCTCGGCCCAGGGCTCGGCCCAGGGCTCGGCCCGGCAGCAGTGGAGGTCCTCGTCGTCCTCGTCGTCCTCGGCGTGGTGCGGACTGCGGACTGCGGCAGGCGTGCTGGGCCCGGACCATGGCCGAGGAGGACGCCGCCAGCGTGCCCGAAATAGCGGGGCACCACAGCGACGATCCCCGGTAGTGCTACGCGTGCTACGCGTGTCGAGTGCGCGTGCGTGGCGCGTGCGTGGCGTGTGGCGTGCGTGTCGCGAGCGTGGGTGCGGTGGCCGTGCCGCCATGTGACGGCGAGGATGGGTGCCGACCGACGTCCCGGACCGCCCTGCGCGCCCTGCGGACTCGGTGGCCTCGCCGGCCTCGCCGGCCGTCCTGGAGGCGCGCGGCGGCAAGCTCGCCCAGCTCGCCAAGCTCGGCGACGACGTGAAAGCGCTGAAAGCGCTGAAAGCCGCCGTCCAAGCCTCCATTGAGCATGGCCTCGGTCGCGGCGTGGCTGCCGTTCGCCCGCGCGGCGGCCATCGGGTGGGTGCCCATCGCCACGCACCCCCTGCCGCCGCCGCCGATCCCCAAGGACCGGCGGAAAGCCGACGACGAGAAGCTGCTCATCAACGTGTCGGGGAGACGCTTCGAGACATGGCGCAACACGCTGGAGAAGTACCCCGACACGCTGCTCGGCTCCAACGAGCGCGAGTTCTTCTACGACGAGGAGTGCAAGGAGTACTTCTTCGACCGGGACCCGGACATCTTCCGGCACATCCTCAACTACTACCGCACGGGCAAGCTGCACTACCCCAAGCACGAGTGCCTGACCAGCTACGACGAGGAGCTGGCCTTCTTCGGCATCCTGCCCGACGTCATCGGCGACTGCTGCTACGAGGACTACCGGGACCGCAAGCGGGAGAACGCCGAGCGCCTCATGGACGACAAGCTGTCGGAGAACGGCGACCAGAACCTGCCGCAGCTCACCAACATCCGGCAGAAGATGTGGCGGGCCTTCGAGAACCCGCACACCTCCACGGCGGCGCTCGTCTTCTACTACGTGACGGGCTTCTTCATCGCCGTGTCCGTCATGGCCAACGTGGTGGAGACGGTGCCGTGCGGCCACCGGCCGGGCCGCGCGGGCACGCTGCCCTGCGGCGAGCGCTACAAGATCGTCTTCTTCTGCCTGGACACGGCCTGCGTCATGATCTTCACTGCCGAGTACCTGCTGCGACTGTTCGCCGCGCCGGACCGCGTCAAGTTCGTGGGCTCCGTCATGAGCATCATCGACGTGGTCGCCATCCTGCCCTACTACATCGGCCTCGGCATCACGGACAATGACGATGTGTCGGGCGCCTTCGTCACCCTCAGGGTGTTCCGAGTGTTCCGAATTTTCAAATTCTCCCGCCACTCGCAGGGGTTGCGGATTCTCGGCTACACACTCAAGTCGTGCGCGTCCGAGCTGGGCTTCCTGGTCTTCTCGCTCGCCATGGCCATCATCATCTTCGCCACCGTCATGTTCTACGCCGAGAAGAACGTGGACGGCACCAACTTCACTTCCATTCCCGCCGCCTTCTGGTACACCATCGTCACCATGACAACGCTTGGGTGAGTACTCGTGCACGTGGCCCGCACCACGTGGCCCCACACCACGCGGCCAGCCGGCGGCCGTCCCAGCAGTCCCGGCCCTTGCCAGCAGCCTGGCCTATCGGAGCCTGGCTGGCAGCCTGGCCACCGAGTGGAGTAGGTGTCGCATGACTGTCACCACCTGTCGGCTTGTCGCCTTGCAGTGCGGTCACACGCCGTGCCGCGCCCTGCCGCGCTGGCACGCCGTCAACCTTCGGGCCCTTCGGGACGGCGCTCTCCAAGAGCTCCAAGAGCAGCTCGTGTTGCTTTCACGATCCTTTCTGCCCGCGGCCGGCCGCGGGTTGGCGATGAGGCGCGGTGCTTGAGGCCGATCCCGGACAGTTAGCTTCGTCTGTCTTCGTCGCACTCGCGCGCCGCCGGCGTCCCTTGAGAGAGACGGAGCGCCGAATCGCTAGTAAGGCGATGTGTCTTGCAATGCTTGCGATGCCGCCGAAATCACGCAATGCTTCTTACCCCCCCCCCCCCCCTCTTCTGGCGCTTTCTTCCACCCGTGCCAAATAAGATAGAGGGCATGATGCACGAGGCAAGAATGCCGGCCAGGCCGTCCGGGGCGCTGCTGCAGACTGATTCCGAGAGTCGTTTTCGTCGCTCTGTCTCTCTCGCGCCCGTAAGGAACGCCCCATGCGTGCGAGAGAGACAGAGCGACGAAAACGACCCTCGGAATCAGTCTGCTGCTGGTCGGCGCGCCGCGGCGTGGCTGCAGCGCTCGATTTTTCATACTGGTCGCGGGAGTTTCTCATCCTTTGACGCGCGCTTTTCTTGTGCCGTCTGGTAGGGCGGCGGCCGCCTCCGCCCCCATTCGCCCCCCCCCCCAAACGGCTGGCGGGGCAAAGCCTGAGGCAAAGCCTGAAGCAAAGCCTCGGGGTTGACTCGAGCGGCTGTGTTGAAAATAAAATGCAATTACTGTGTCGTCGCTACCGAAAAAAAGGCCAGTTGGAACTGATAGAATTTTAGCACCAGTCACACCAGACAACCCAGGATTTCGATTGGAAGTCCTAGCATAAGCACACGCAAAAATTTGCATTTCAGAACAAAAACTTTAAAACTTTTGTTGTTGTTTTGTGGCGAGACAATCTGGGCGACAAATGCGGTTCCAGAAGCAGTGGCGGTGTGGCGTGTGTCCCCGGTGGGCAGGTAGCAGTGTCACTGCACGCACGGCGTCGCTCGGCGTCGCCCTGCCGCGCACTGCCGCGCCCTGCCGCGCCCTGCCGCGCACTGCCGCGCACTGCCTCGCACGCAGGGGTCATGACCACCCCACCCCCCAACATGACCCTCCGAATGGGCGAATGGGCCCCCAGAGAAAGATTTGACGACAACAGGGGTCCTGGTACCGCGTGCATACCGGCCTGATTTCTGTATTGTCGGCTTGCCTCGCCTTTCCAACCCGCCAGCCAGCAGGTTAAGCAAAACTTAAAAGAAGCAAAAAAAGAAAGAGGCAACTTTTTTTTTGAGTGTGTGGCTTGTGGAAGTTGCAAAAGAAGTGTTGAGGAATTTGTTGATTTGGCTGGCTCGCAATTATATGGAAACCCTGGCCTTGCTCTTTGATGAAGCTTGGCGCGCTGCCAGCCCCGTCTGCCCCGCCCGACCAGCCACCCGATGACCAGCCAATGACCAGGCAATGCCGCCAACCTCTTCGCAGACCCTCCTCGCAGACCCTTCACCCTTACTAAAAAAAAAAGAGAGTACGCGTTTTAAAACTTGCCGGACGTGGACAGAATACGGGCCAAGGTACGTCGTCCACCCTGTTTAGCATGTTGTGTCGCACCTTGTCAAAATGGTTTAGTTTGAACAACATTAAAAAAAAAATTCAAACTGAAAATTTTTTAACAACATGCTGTGGTTATCACGCAAGGCACTTCGACTGTGTACACCCACGGTGGCATTATTCTAAGAAGTTCGATCCCGGAAAAGTACTGCCTTGAACAGTCAAAATAGGAAATTGACGCACTCTGGAAAAGTGGGTCTTCGTCGGACCACAGCACGGGCGCATTGACGAAGGCGAGCGAGGGGGTAAACACTTGCGTAATACCCTGTACACAAAAGTCGGGTATTACGCCGTAATAAGCGTAATAGTAATACATTTTGGGACCTAATTTATTAAAAAATTACATTTTTCAATGGAATCGAGGCGTAATACATGCGTAATACAAGTGTAATACCCCGTAATAGGGAGTAGTCTGTACAAGGTTCACCGGAGTGTTTACCCCCTCGAAGGCGAGCCCATCGCTCCGAGCACACGCCCATTCTTCACGGCGTGCAAAGTCATGTTAACACGCCAACACGTGTTGCGCGGCTGGTTGCGTGAAAAGTTCCTGCTGTCTCTCGCGGAAAGTAGCAGTAGTAGTAGTACCGGCAGACGTCTGTACAGTGTACACAAGGCATCAGTTTTTTCTCTCGCGTCTTGCCGCGTGCCACGCGAGCATGCCTTTGCTTGTTTCCCCACGATTCTCAGCTTCCTGATCAGCATGGCGTGTGCCCCCTCCCCCCCCCCTCCCCCTCCCTCTCCCCTCTCCCCTCCCCTTCCCCCTCCCCCCTCCCCCCACCGATCCATCACCTCGGCCACGCCACTTTACCTGGAGGACTGCCCCCCCCCCCCCCCTCCCCTTATCTGGCGCGCAAACAGCGTTAAGCGATGCTTGCGCTGCCCAGTCTTTGCCCCCCGCGTGTTGGCCCCACGCTCTGCCACGCTCTGCCACGCTCTGCCACGCTCTGCCACGCTCTGCCACGCTCTGCCACGCTCTGCCACGCTCTGCCACGCTCTGCCACGCTCTGCCACGCTCTGCCACGCTCTGCCACGCTCTGCCCGCTCTGCCACGCTCTGCCACGCTCTGCCACGCTCTGCCCGCTCTGCCACGCTCTCCCACGCTCTGCCACGCTCTGCCACGCTCTGCCACGCTCTGCCACGCTCTGCCACGCTCTGCCACGCTCTGCCACGCTCTGCCACGCTCTGCCACGCTCTGCCACGCTCTGCCACGCTCTGCCACGCTCTGCCACGCCCTGACACGCTCTGCCACGCCCTGCCCTGCCCTGCCCCACGCCACGCCCGGCGTGGTCCGAGAATCGGACGCCCAGTCGCCTGGGTGTTTGGAGTGACCAAATACGACCCGGCCACGCAGATTCGCGCTCAGAGCGAGCGAGTCCGCGTACGTACAGTCCGCCAAAACAACGAAACAGCAACAACAAAAGCTCCTTTTCTTTTCCCTTTTCACTGGACCTACACTGCTGGTGCTAGGACAGGTGCGGATACAGAGATGGCTTATGCGTTTTTGCACCCCCGCCCCCCACGTCACCTAGATAGCCGCCCGAAAGGTAGGCAAAATGCCACACGTTGGTAGGCAAAAAGTACCACCCCCCTCCAAAGACCGGCCCTGGATCCGCCTCTGAGGATGCGCCGCCCCAGGTAAAAATGGGCTTTATAAAGGCCATTATAAGGTTTTTTATGATTTTATAAGGATTTTTTATCCAATTTTATAAATTTTAATAATGTCATATGAATAAAGATTTATACAATCACACGAGTTTTTAAAGGGATATGTGTGCAGTTATATAAAGTTTTATACAGAAGATGTATATGGCCGTATAAACTATGGATTCCCATATAATCATAGCTAAAGAGCTTCTCCTTATAGAGACATATTGGACACATATAAACAGTTTAATATAACTATATAAGGCCATCCCTATGAATTTATATTTCTTATACAAGTTCATAAAATCATATGTATGAACGTTACTATACTTATAAGTTTTTATAAGCCTTTTGATATGGTTTTATAAATGTGTATTTATAGAAACTCCCGTCTGACTTTATAAAACTCATTTTTACCTGGGGCGAGGTCCATTAGGAAGCAAGGTAGGGTTGCCGAAGTTGAGCTGCAGGCTTTATCGAGGGATTGGGGGGGGGGGGTGTCCGTTCACAGGCGGGCACTAGCAGTGTGCCATCATTCGGTGGTTAGCGCCATTAGCACGACATTGGAGTGGCCTTGCGCGCCCAGCCTCGCCCAGCCTCGCCCAGCCCGGCCGGCCAGTTGGCTGCGATCCTTCCCGCTGGCATGCTGGACTCTGAAGGCACACCAGAAAGAAAGAGAAGGACAGGAAGGAGAGATAGAAAAACCAACAGGGAACGCGAGGAATTAGTCGGGGAAGAGCGAAATGAAGATGATGCTTTTCAGATGTTAATAAGGGGATGTTAATGGAGGCGATGGAGTGCTCGCTCGGAGCCCCTGCGGTGCGCGGGGTATGCAACCCGCACCACTCCGGCGTCCAGATTCCGACGCGCTGCCCACCTCGCACCCCCCGCCCAATCAATCTTTTATTTAAAAATATAAAACGAAACAAAATACGAAAATCTAATAAAGAGAGAGATAGCTGGGTGATGCTTGTCGAGACCACATTCCCGGGGACAGCAAACAGCAAGTTTATTTCGTGCCATTCCGCCGGGCTGCTCACCTCGCAGGCGCTCTCACACGGTCCAATCAATCTTTTATTTAAAAAAATATAAGAAAAATAAATAAAATAAAAACACCTAAAAAAGAAAGAAATGTGTATGGATCGGTTATGCTTGTCGAGACCACATTCCCGGGGCCAGGAGTTTATTTCGTGCCATTGTGTCTTTTCTTTTTTTTGGAGGGTACTCTAATAACGACTATCACTTGCCAACAGGGTCTCTGCACTGTATGCCCTGGCCTTTATACCCAAGACAAAAGCGGGGGTTGATCGCATAATTAAACTGGGGAAGTTGAAAAGGAACGTGGGGAGAGGGGAGAGAGACACGACGAGGAGAGGGAGGGGGGCCTTGCAGCGGAGAGCACCCTCACGGCTACTTGAGCTACACACTCAGAGGAAGGTTCTGACACGGCGTCTAGAAATTTTAGCGGTCTCGTCAAGTTTAGTCGCGTACACGACGCGCAAAAGTTAAAGTGCGTACCCCGAAACGAATCTTTGGCGCCACAAACCAAACCTCTC